TTGACGTCACTATCAACCCTGTGTGAAAGCCCTTTAGCAGGATGTTTCAATCACTAGAGTTCTGTAAAACTGGAATATAGACCTCTATTATCGAAGTGAGAGCACTTCTTTTCAATTCTGATTAAAATCATTAGTCATATGATCATGACAGCATTTTACAAGTCGTTATTGATTATTCTAGTGCCATTCTTGCGAATCTCGCATAAGAACAGTGAACTCGGGTTGATTATATCAGAGGTGGTTAGATAGATCAGTTTATTTCCTTCAAATGACAAATTACAGATTTGTATAGGAATTGTCAAGAAAAACTTAATGCTAGGGGACGAAAAACAAACATATAAGACACAATGAAAGATAAAAACTATACCAAATAAACTATAAGGAGTGAGATACAGTTAGTTCTGTGAATTTACTTTTGATCATATAAAAACTCGTCAAGTGTATAAAAAAATTTATCAAGCAGAAAGGACTTGAGACTCCTTTTGAATGTTTTAAGGTCATTTTTGGATTTTATTTCTTCTGGTAGACGATTGAATATTTTTGGCCCAATGAAATTTGGAGAGTTTTGACTGATTTTATACTTAGCCATTTTTGTGTGAATGAAATGTTTTTGACGAGTATTAATTTTATGGATATCACTGTTGAGTGTGAAGTCGTTTCTGTTGATATATATGTATATTGACAATTCATAAATGAATAGGCCGATAAGAGTTAAAATTTCATGATCATGAAATAGTGGCCTGCATGAGCTGCGTTTAGGAGTTTTATATATGCACCTTATATAAAATGGCTTTTTGTTTAATAAAAACATTGTTGCCCATTGATGAGTTGCCCCACAAACAAACACCGTAACGTTACCTAGCTTCTACTTGGGCATAATATATGCGTATCAATTGATTCGAATCTAAAACAGTGTTTAAGTTTTTGAACATACAGGGTGTAAATTTGAAAACTTCCAATGCGAATATCTCGCGAAAAAAAAAAAGTTAGAAAAACGCCGTTTGGCAAAAATGCTAAAGAGTTGAGGGGAACTAGAACCACCATATTTCGGTCAAGGGATGAGTCACCCCGTCGGCGCGACACACCACAACTTTGAAATGTCAAATGGCACTACCTTTTTTGTGATGCCTCAAATGAACAGTCTCAGTCAGTAGTATTCACCTGTACAAGACTTTTTTTCCAACCACTACAGGGTGTAAGAAAAATATAAAGTCGAATAAAATAAAATGAATTGTGTTAAAATGATATTTTATTTGATCAGATGTTCAAAATGCATTCCAATCTGTTGTAAGCAATAGTATAATCGATGTTCAACTGCCATTCTAACATTTTGGAACACATCTCTTGGAATATATCGGCATTCATTTTATTCGACTTTATGTTTTCCGTTCACCCTGTAGTGGGTGGAAAATAAGTCATGTACAGGTGAATACTACTGACTGAGACCGTTCATTTGAGGTATCACAAAAGAGGTAGTGCCATTTGACATTTCAAAGATGGAGTGTGTCGCGCCGACGGGGTGACTCATCTCTTTACTGAAGTATGGTGGTTCTAGTTCCCCCTAACTCTGTAGCATTTGTGCCAAACGGCGTCTTCCTAACTTTTTTATTTAGCGAGATATTCGCATTGAAAGTTTTCAAATTTAGACCCTCGAATTAATGTTTTTCGTACACCCTGTAGTGGGTGGAAAAAAAGTCTTGTACAGGTGAATACTACTGACTGAGACCGTTCATTCGAGGTATCACAAAAGGGGTAGTGCCATTTGACATTTCAAAGTTGGGGTGTGTTGCGCTGACAGGGTGACTCATCCCTTCACTGAAATATGGTGGTTCTAGTTCCCCTTAACTCTTTAGCATTTTTGCAAAGCGGCATTTTTCTAACTTTTTTATTTCGCGAGATATTCGCATTGAAAGTTTTCAAATTTACACCCTGTATAAATTATTGAGCTCAGCTTAGAGACTAACTGTTCACAATGTGTGTTCCAATTCAAAAACTCGTCCATATAAATTCCCAGAAATTTCACTTTGCAGCAGGTGCTTACAATGCTATCATTAACATTTAGTTGGAGTGCATCAACTTTATTTTGATAATTATGGAAACGAATCACCTGTGTTTTCCCGGCATTGAAAAATAGATCATGTGTATTGAAATATCTGGTGGCTGAAGACAAGATTTCCTCACATTATGGTTATGTCTTTATTGGCTAGTAGTTCATGAAATGACGAAAACTACCTTGGTAGTAAAAACACACTTTACGAGCCTTGAAAAGGAGTGAATAATGGTAGATTCTAGAGCTAGTGGTGAAACAACAAACATTCAATGTACTTTCCATTGGTTACTCGAATATCCGCAAGAGGGCGTATCGCTTATTTCGAATCGCTTAAAGCTAGTGGTGGAAATAGTATCCCTAATAGCACACAACGTCCTAGGGACGTCCTAATTTGGTAGAATTCAAGTCCGAATGTCCCGGACCAAAAATAAGTGTCCTTGGGGACGTCTCATCCCGTACATCTCATGCAATGTCCGAGTAAGGACGTCCACGGAATGTCCCAGCTGGTACATCATTTCAAATGTCATAGAAATAGCATCCCTCAGACGTTCCACGTGGTACATATTGTAGAATGTCCATGTAATGACGTCCTTGGTATGTGCCTGATGGGATATGATTTTAAACGTTCCTTTAGGGACATCCATAGAATGTCCCGAGTAGTACATATTCTGACTTGACATCATATCTTATATAATGCGCCTTCTAGACAACCATGAAATGTCCCTGATAGTACACATTCCTTCAAATATCTCTGCACAGACGCCCTTAATATTTCCAGGATCGTATAAAAATCGAAATGTCCCTTAGGGACATCCTTCGGATTTCCCAATTGGTACATGAACTGTACTTATCCAATGACCTAGAAATAACGTCCTACGGACGTCTCTGTCGGTAATATGTTGTCCCTGCGAGGACGTTAACTTACACCTCGCCGACGAATGATTGCTCGCAGGCTTTAAATACTCCCCATCAATGTCCTTCACGTAAGTCCATTGGACATCATTGGAAAATTTTTTCAGGATCTATTGGGGACCTTCTACGGACCATCAACTCAATAGGATGTCCTCATCAGTTATGCAAGATCTGGTCCTAGAGAACCTCAGAAAAATTCAAATTTAAGAATAATTCGTACGTCCCTGGGACATCCTATGGACATCCAATTGATATCCCTCAGCGTTGCTGAAAGGATGTCCTCGATAGTTGTCCCAGGGACGTCCCACAAAGACGTCCCTAAGTGGTAATCAAGTGGGACATTTGTGCGTCCCACAGACGTCCAATGGACGTCCACGGTACCAAATTCGAACGTCCTATGGACGTCCTGAATGTCCCGACAGGACGTCCTAAGGATATTCATGGGACAGGATTGTGTTATTAGGGATATTGCTCAACGAGCACGGAATGATAGTGATTTCCTACGAGAATGAAGTTTGCAGCATGAGCCATAGGCGAATGCTGCAATCATTCGAGTAGGAAATCAGCATTCCGTGCAAGTTATACACTATAATTTTTCTACGGCTATAATAGCGGCATTTTCGATTTCTTCGTCTTGTAGTCATATGATTTCCTGTCAAGTAACGCTCATCTATTAGAAAGAGCTGTCATTGCTTGAAATTTGACATTTCCTGGGCGATGAGTTTATTCATTATGATTTCAATAGCCATTCAAGATGAAACTCAGTTGAGTGAATTTAAATATCTTATAATTTTTTCGTGCCAATGTTGAACCTCATGATTATAAGGTTCTTTTGGCTGTTCAGCCGCTATAAAAATTTAATCACCCCCTTACCGGACTGATTATTTATACGTTGATATAACCGCTTAATTTTTTTGATGAATTTGTAATCACCACATGGCCTAGGTACTCGATTCAATTTGTGTCTGAAGATGGCTGTTTAGCCGAAACTAGTCACACTAGCAATTGTGTAATATAATTTGTGGTCGACCGACTTTGTGTATTTTGTTTTTTCTTTGAAAAAATCTGGACCACTTTGAGAAGGATGGATGGTTTCCATGACTAATCATAACACAAGTTAGTCTTTGTGACATCAGATACGAAAATAAAATTGATGACATACAAAGTACCTCATTGATGTATCGAACACAGTAAAACAAGAGCAATCTTGTGTTATAGCCGTAGAAAACAATTTTTTTCTACTAATGCTATGAAAAGTAGCGCATTCCTCATTGCTTACTCAGTTTCAAAACCATGTATTGCTCATACTGTGAGAAATATTTTTTTAAGGCACTTTGTCAACACCACATACATTTCCATGGAGAATCAACAAAAATCGACCAAAACTTGGCTGCTGTTCAGCTTTGAATAGTTGTCACAACTGTCAGAAGAAGTTTTTCCAAATTCTTCATTCTCATTAGTGTGATAGAAATCGCATTTTCCATCAAATATTATTCCAACAATTCATAATAAATAATATAATGTATATACCGAGATGTGACGATTTTGATAAATACACCGCCAGAGACAGAGATAATGGAAAAAACTGCGAAAGTTGGATTTGTTTCCGGAAATTTCAAGAAAAAAGTATGAATTGGCATAAACGAAAAATGTATGGAATCTAAAATAATACAGAAATAAAATCTTTTTCGGAAAGTGTACTTTTTTTAAATACTTTGAGGAACTAGGAAAGGCGTCTACTCTTTGGTCACAATATTCAATGTGGCATAGTGCCACATTTTTAAATGAATTCCAATCAGCTACATTACTCGGATTCTTTGAATAAGTGCAGTTGTAGAAAAAGTATAGTGTGCAACATGTGGGGAAAGGCACTTTTCTCACTCGTGTGTTTGCATCACTCGCACTTCAGACTCGTGCCACATACTTGCACTTTTCCCACTTGTTGCACAATATACTATTACCTACCTACTTGAGTATTCAATTCACTTATTAATTAACATATTATGCCCTGAAGTTAATTAAAATATTGAGTACTAACCACTATCTTCCAACCTTGCAGTTCCTATGATGGGATAGGCCTTTGGACATGGTAAATTCTTAATGTATTGCCAATGTTTACTAGTTTTCCATCTTCGTTCGAGGAAGTAAAAACAAATCGTAATGAAAATTACGAACGGAATGAACATCTCGTAACTGCAATCAACATACAAGCGTTATCAATCCAAAATATTTATATGATTGTTGTTGTTCTTGTCCTCGACAGAAATGAGATAGATACACAATATGCATATGATGATACAGAGTGATCAATATGAGGTCTATACAGAAGTATCCCGAAAATCATGAACTCCTAAATGGTGAACACAAATTTCTTCTGACATCTATCCGATACAGACTGAAATGTAAATTACTATTGGATCTATTATAAATCATAGAAGACAAGCGAGGAACATGTGTCCAATATTTTATTTTCGATACTATATGTAGTACATAGTTCTTTGATATCTCGAAAGCCATAACCTATAGAGAAAAACTTTGAAGAAAAAACTTTTTCAGTTACTGAAGTTGCTCATTTCAAAAATATTTTCAACATTACTGGGTGTTTTATAAAAGCGGGGCAACTCGAAGAAGAGTTTTTTTAAATGGAACACCCAGTATTGTTTATTCGGAATGAATTCCGCCGAGATTTACCTTCACATCGCTGTGAAAAAAATTGAAATCGATTGCGGCGTTGTCAAGTTATGGATAATTTCCTTATTTTCACTACTATTTCGGGGTAATTTGTACGTCATAGTTCTTTCATTTATTTGTATTGTGGAAATATTGCGTTGCTACGGTATAATCAAATCTGCTCATTGACACATATATTTCTTTACAATAGGAACATTAACAGGCTCTCCAAGTTTGATTTTTTTTTCGAAATACACTTATATTCGTGTAATGACCTGTCAAACATCGCCACAATCAAATATATCTTGGATTGATTCGAAATTTTGCTGAATTCCCTCCCAAAAGTCGCGTATGGTAGAGACATATTGTTTGTATCATTATGTTTACCTCCTTCAAATTAAATGGAGATTTGGATTGTGGGAATAACGACAATAAAAATGGCCCAAATTTCAAAAAACTGTCCTAATTTTCGCAATCCGCATCTCCATTGTTTGTATTGTAGAAGTTGTTTCAAAGACAGGCGTTGCTTTTGGCATGTTTGTTTCACATATTATTTAAATCATAAGTAACGAGATTACGGAGTATTTCAAATTTGGACGATGCACATATCGCAAAAATACCTGAATGATCTATGTAGAACCTTGAATGTCATGTGGCAAGCAATATTCCCACACTCAAATCAAATAAAAGAACCATATCATGACATACAAATTACCCCGAAATAGTAGTAAAAATAAGGAAATTACTCATAACTTGAAAACGCCGCAACCGATTTTGATTTCTTCTTCAGCGATGTAAAGGCGAATGATGTCGAAATAAATCAGAACAGGGTGTTCCATTTGAAAAATTCTTATGATCGTCGTCTGAATCTTACAATATTCAGAATGTGAATTTTAGCACCCTGTGAAGGATTATCTCGCAAGATTACTGGATTGGTATACGTGAGACCTTGCTACCACTGTATGCCAAGAATATTTTCGAAATTTCAATAAATTAATTGAAAATGACCCTTCAATAGTAGAAAAAATGGGTTTATCAATTATAACTTGGCGACGCCGCAAGCAAATTAATTTTTTTTTACAGCGATGTAGGGCTGAACCTTAGCGAAATAAATTTCGAATGAACAATACTGGGTGTTCCATTTAAAAAAACTCGTCTTTGAGTTGTCCCGCTCTTCTAAAACACCCAGTATTGTTGGAAATATTTTTGAGATTAGCAACTTCAGTAACTGAAAAAGTTTTTGCTCCAAACTTTTCCTCTTGTGATAATTGATTTCGAGATATCGAAGAATTACGTTCTAAATGGACACACTGTATAATATGATGATGAGTATACCTGAATAAGGTATCCTATTTCGATTTCATATTGCTCTCTCAAATCTCATCTTTTTTTTTTTGTTTGTCTCTCAATCACCCAACTTCCCGTGAGTTTTATTTTCAGTACCAGAGATATGATATTTTCTTGAGTAGTTGTTCGCTCGAGTAGTTTTAGGAAATCCCCTTATTTTGCAAATACAGATTGGTAATGTTTAGGGTCCAAGAAAGCTATAGACGAACTTAGATCATAACATCAGTACCAAATCTCCTTTCATACTTTACTTATCATTCCGAGCGTCCCACCTATCCCACCGATCGGCCTTGGCCTTACAGGAATGTTCCTGCCTTCCGATAGGTTGCGTGCAAGATCTGTCAGATGACCGACCCTGGAGGAAAAAACATCGAAACACAACCTCACTTTTCTTATTTGTTTACATACGAATCCTCATTTTCGGCTATTCATTAATTCGAACATGCCTTATTCACATTGTGCTGTAGTACAATGCACAAGAATGCAGCGAGAGACGAATGAATCCGATACTATAATCACTCACATGTTGTTTCCATTTTAAATGCTTTTAAATCTCCATTGGAATTCCTACTGCAAAAGGAGCTAATAGAATTACTCGTAAAGTTCCTGAAAGAAGGCAAGAAGATTGGATTCATGCATTCAAACGAAAGGACTTGTTTGACATGCTGACGAAAAATGACGTGTGTGTTGTAGACATTTTCACTCCGTTAGCAGTATTATTGCTTCTATTGCAAAAGTGACAGAAGGAGTTCTGAAGAGAAATGACAAAATTTCATGATGAAAACTGTGAGATCACTATTTGCCTGAAAAATCATATTCCTCCGTCTCTCGCTGCATTCTTTATGTATTGTATACAACAGCAAAATGTGATGGCATGTTTGAATTAATGGGCAGCCCAAAAACACGATTCGTATGCCAAAACATTGTGCAAAACAATTATTTCAATCCTTTGATTCCTTGAGGTTGTGTTTCAATGTTTTACAGAAAAGTGAGGTAGTGATTACCTTGGAAGCAATACCTACCGAACTCATATAGAAATCAGTTACCTACTAGTTATCGATCACTTCGTACTCTAATAATTATTTGCTTGAATATTATACAAATATGAATGATTGATTATTGTTTTCGGCGTAATCAGTATGTTACTATCAAGTGGAATTATGAAATGAGCGTTTCACAATCACCAAACCATTTATAAAATGATGTAATCTGGGAAACTTCGAATCATATTATACAGGGTGTTTGGTTCACCGACGTATATCTGAGGGAATGTGGTGATATGATAGCTAAGATGATTCTGAACATATTTTACTATATACAGGGTGATTCAATGTTCGATGTTGATATTGCAAGATCGTATTGTTGGGATCAAATTAAGACTTTGCCCTCATATACACTGTGTCCAAGATAAGGATGTCTATCATGGGGATCTCAGAAACCATAAGAGATACGAAGATGGTTGAATTAGAGAAAAGTTGCGCATTTTTGAGCCTAACAATATGACGTTTGAAAATTTTCAAAATGCCGAGTATTGCCGGAGATATGGCTGAAAAACCGAAATATGCCGATTTCTTTTTTATTTTTTTCTGACGTTATTTGAAGATGAATAGAAAAACAAGAGACACTTTATCATTGCCACTTTTTGAGCTCTACAAAACAGCGTTGAGAGATTCTCCGTACAACGTTTCGTTTCGGAGAAACCATCATCAACTTTATTTTTTTATATGGCCCGTAAAAAAAGTATACCCTGTATAAAATAGCATATTTTATTACGAATACAGCGATGTATTATTGAATCAGAAAAAATGGTTTTTATTATTATTTCGAACGTTTTGGTGTAGTAGGCGGTGAACTGACGGCGCTGAGAGAATGTCAAAATAATTTAATTGACATATTATTGACAAATAGTGTTTTCGAACTTTGTTGCTAGAGATTTCTTTTTGTTACAAAATGGAACGTGTTTTTTGACCTGAGGAAAAGTTCGATATGTTGAAATGTTATATCTTATGCCATAGCAACGCCGTTGAAGCTGAACGTATGTATTTAAATAACTATCCAGAGAGAAGACAACCCAGTTCAAAAATTTTCGGCGATTGGTTTCGAATCTGAAGCAGTATGGTGCAATTATGAAACCAGTATTGTCAAGAAATAAGCCCTGTGATGAAATAATAGAAAATAATGTAATATTAGCTGTAACTGAAAACCCAGAAATATCTGTTAGAGAAATTGACAATACCATTGGTGTATAGCGAAATCTACTGCCCATTTTATTTTGAGAAATATATATATATCGATATATGCATCTCACTATCATTTCTGCGTCTTTACATCACTCATACTTTCAGCGTCCATGTCAAAATATTGAATTATCTATCGATCAACAGGTAGCGGTGGCCTCATGGTACAGAAAACTGTAGAGTATATCTAACTTGTATGACGCGTTCTCTTTCTATTCGAGTTTATACATCTCGCCGCCTTTTTGCGTCCTTCCATGTTACTATCATTTCAACGCCTCCTGTATATTTTGCATTATACAATCAATCCTGCGTCCGAATGTATATTTCTTGTATCAAGAGCAAACATTTCTGCATCTTGCAGTGTTGCCAAATCAGACTCATAGCTATTGTATAAGTTTATATAATAATATATGGTGTGTTTTTCGATAACATGCTAAAATCGACTTTCTTGGGTTCATTTCGAGAAAGAAAAACTTCCTATGAACATATATGCCATAAAGGTCTCAACTTTTGAACTACATAGTACTGAAATTCTGATAAAAAACTCTTGAATTCAATGATGACCTATAAAAATAATTCTCTCGTTTGAAATATTGTATAAAGTTGCACAAATTGTTTTTGCCGCCTACCTCTATCCAAAGTATACAGTTCCTGGCCTCATTGTAGAGGGAGCAAAGTCATACTCTTTCTCCCTCCCTGACTTTTCCTTCCTAAGGAGGGAAATAACTCATACGGCATTGACGACCAAAACTAAATTCTATTAATCAGGGTTATTCACGTTATTCGACACGACGCATTTTGATTTTTTTCAACAGATTTTCTCCTTGGATGAATAGGGACAAATCAGCGCTACATTATAAAAATATTCTAATTTTGTACAGGATGTTCCAAAACAAGAAATGTATCAAGGTTCCAATTTTTCAAATGGGATACCACGTT